CATAAGTAGGCAGTTGCACAACAAGCAGATTTGTACCAGGAAGACCCATTGCACCTGAGTCTCTGGAGAATAACATTTTACATTCTGTGAAATAGGGTATCCCTCTCTAGATCTACCATACGGCCTAATACTGTACTACTGCATGACTAGCAAGAGCCATGATTCAGTGTGTCATTCTTCAGTTGTCAGTAGAAGGCAATGGCTAATATAATCTTAAAGGTTAGCTAATTTTAAGCACTGTCCCTTTCCTAAGCAAATCCTTGGAGATCACTGAACATCAGAATGATGATAGATATTTGTTTAACAAACCCCACTAGTGCATAGAAGAACAATGTGGGTATTATTTTGGTATTTGTTCAGCTGTGCCACACAAGTGCTAGCAGATGTAGTATTCACACTCTCATACTCAACAGTTTGTTTCTCCTTTCCTGGAGAAATGAGACTGCTAGATTCAGTTTCCTAAATTATTTTAACTGTCAGATAATTTTCCAGTTGGTAAACTGTGCTAGGATTCCCCATTAGGCTTGAGGAACCCGACTGTCCTAGTTGGGCAGATCTTAGCTTCGTATACCAGGAGGTTGCTTTGGTAGATTCTTTACCAAGCTAGACAATGTTGAATTTCACGAATTAGTATACAAAGTATGTATCATTGTTATTATTTTGATAACACCATGTAGTTCTGGTACTTTGATTTATGCCCACTAATTCGTTGTTTCCATCATTTAATATAACATGTTTTCTCTGCTCCTCACATCTGTGAAATAGATCCTTTTAATTCTGTTTTTCTAGACAAATATTCTTCCTTTGTATGTTGAAAGTATGTGCCAGAAATGAAAGAAGTATTGGCAAAGTGGAATAACAAATGCCAGTAGGCTTATCAGGAGAAAGATAGATAAAAGTATTATGTAAAATGGCTAGATATGGGAAACATTAAATTTCATGCCCAGAAGGAGGCTGAGAGTGGGGCAGAACAGCCACCCCTGCAGCACCGGTTGCTGCTTCTGCACCCTGCTTTGCAAAATCCTGGAACTGCTTCTGATGGCAACAGATCATATATTTTCCAGAATGGCACTGATTGTCAAACTCAGCACCCAGCTGCTGTTCCTGCCACGTGGTCAGAAAGTGGGATACAGTTGCACCACTGCACCCTTTCTGGAAATGCTGCTGATTCCTTTAGGTTTTTCTTGGCACTGTAAATGAAAACTGTTCCTCGTTGACTAATTTACTTAATTACCAGTTCGTCTTTTTTTCTCTTCCTGGTCATATCACTGTAATATTTAATGAATATCAATCTCTCAAGCACTCTTATGTACAGTGACCAAAAAAAAATTGAGGAGATGGACTGGAATCATAGGTATATGGGACACAGAAACCTGGCTATGGGGGTACTTCATGAAAGAAGGCTTCACTGAACATGACCATGATTTTTGCAGTCTAAATGCAAGACTTACTTTTTTAATAAGACCTTTCTCCAGCACTGACAGTTATGTGCATAATAAAACAACTTTGGTTTTTCCCATTGAATTAGAGCCATGTTTTTCTCATTAAGTAGGTGCATAGCCATTAGGTCTATGCATTTGTGGGCACATTGCAAGAACATCTGCTGTGTAGCAATACATTGTTAGAAGTGGGTTTTAGAATGAAACATCTGCCCAAAGCCGCTGTCATCTGGCCTAATTATTTCCTAAAAGAAATATGAGTCTCCTTGTGTTGCCAGTTAATTTGGAGAGTACCTGATGATCTCAGAGGGTTTGAAACAACCCTCCACAAAATGCTGGGAATAAAAGTGTGCACCTCCTGTGCTCATGGCATATTGTAGTTCTTGATTGCCAGGCTTCAGACACCCAAATAAGCCTCTTATTTTTGGGAAAATATTTAACTACCCATCTCTGAAAACCAGGTCCCTTTTAGATGGATCATCTTGGGCGCACTGGTTGTTTCTGAAAATGAAAGCTGAAAGTGTAACTCTCTGGGAACACTTGGCTGACTTAGGCATTGATCTTTTTGCTATGCTTGTAACGCGTGTGTTCTCAGCAGTGCATGCATTCTTGCTCCTATCACACATAGAGGGAATCAGAATTATTGCAGGATTCCCAGAACACCCTAAGGGACATGTCAGGACCATTTTGCCTCCTGTACTCCTGCCTGTCATGCAGGTACAAGACGTGAGCTTGGGGGAGAGCTTTGTAGAGCTGTTCTGCTTCCTCCCACAGTGATGGTGGAATGGGAGCAGATGGGAATGAGAATGGGGGTGGCAGTGAGCCCCTCACACTCCTCCTACATACTTGCTAGACAGCACAGCTGAGCCAGCCTGCCAGTGGAAACCACTGGTCCAAAGGTTGGAGTTGATGTAGCTTCCTTTACGTCACAGTGTAAGAGGGAACTGGGGACTGTGCTCTAAGCCAAATCTGTTACTGTTTGTTTATTGGTATTACCATGTTCTGCATGCTCTGCAAGCACAGAACAAGACGGGCCTTGCCCTACAAGCTTACAATCCAAGTGTCAGTCAAGAGACAACAGGTGGATATAAACACCTAATTGCTATCTGCTCCTGGAGGCAGTGGAGATTTTTACTACTTCTTACTTAGGGTTACTCAGGGCTTGTAGCAGAGCTACAGTTTAAAGCTGCACCAGTGTCACTGGTCAGTCATAAGGAGCCTGGGGTCATGTTTTCACCCAGATGCCGTTTTACATCCGATGACTGAGTGGGGAACTGGTTAAAAGGGATCAGAGCTGTTGTGTATGAGTTTGTCTTCCTGTGGTTGCTGTACATCACCAAAGAACATACACAGCTTACAAACACAGACCCAGAAATGTACTGTTCACACAAGGAGAGCTCTGCCTGTCCATAACTGGTCACAGTCTGGAGTGGCAGTGTTGGTTGCCACAGCTTCCAGCACCACTGCTCCCCTGCCATCAAAGGTCCAGACCCATGGGGAGTCTTGCACACCAGATCACATCTGCAGGCTGACTGACTCCCGTGCACCAAACCCATGCTTTATCTGGCCCATGGACCAATGTCTCCCATTGGACCCAGCTTTCAAACCAGCCCTGTGCTACTTGTACAGCCCACAGGGCCAGAAGGTTAAGCACCACCAGTCCTGAGCCTCAGGCTTACAATAATTAACCCATTTCTGGGAGTAATGTTGGGTGAAGTTCCTAAAGAGGACAATGATTGCAGCAAATACAAATTAACACAAGTGCAAACTCAACCTGGTGTGCTGTTTTACAGCTGTAAGTTTCGGCACCTTTGCTCTCTCATGCATGTGCAGAATGTAGGTCTGAAGGAGACCACCTGGGGTTATTTTGTTAGTATTATTTGTATTAGTAAAAAGAGTATGTCACTTAATAACTGTGACTAAAAATAAAGAGTCTAGGCACTCAGGAGTTAATGGAGGTGGTCCCAATCCAGTTTATTTTAATCTTAGGAACTGTAGTATATGTAACATTTCAAGAAACAGCCAGAGGCCAGTGTTTCAGAAACTGACTTTTACCCGTTACTGTAAGTGGACCATTACTATAAGTTAAACACAGTGTTTTGGCTGTTCTTGTTTTCATTTTTTAATTGCTCCCAGGTTAATACTTTGTACATCATATTTTAACCTGAAGCCACTGAAATGCATGGAAATAAGAAGTTAATAATGGAAAAACTGAAACAACCATCAAATGCTGTTTTGAAGTGAAGTCACTTCTTCCTGTTTTACATTCCTAGGGTAGTAACCCAAGAGGGACAGGAAAGTGGTGTTTTTTCATCTCAGGCACCAACCTTCTGAGTGAATGGCTGGATCACAAGTCTTTCTGAATTAGTGGGAGTCTTACCAGTGATTTTTTTTTTTTTTTTTTTTTTTTTTTTTTTTTTTTTTTTTTTTTTTTTTTTTTTTTTTTTTTTTTTTTTTAATGGGCTTTGGATCTGGCCCCATATGACCAGAGTGTCAAACAGCAACGTGGTCATTACTACTTGTTAGATGATGGACTTTGATTTTTTAGAATACGACCACCCTTTCCTAACATCTAAGAAACATAATAATCCCAAATCATACCTACTCCCTCACAAAACTCTCCCACCCAGATGCTTGTCTTTCTCTGTTCATCATCTCCCTGGAAAAAGCCTGGGGAGTGAATAAGAAGCAGCTTGACCCCAAAGATCAGTGAATTCAGGCTATGACAAGGTGAGTTAGAAGTCAAAGCCGGAGTGCGACTGAAATGTGAAACATCCCTGTTCTTAACGAAGGGTTAGCCAGAATCCCTCAGAGCCTCCAAGAAAGGCCAATCTCTGGGATATCCTAGACCCAACCTATCTTTTAAGGTTTCTGCAGTGAAATTAATACCTGACATTGAACCCAAAACAAACTGGGAGGTAGTGGAACTCTCAGAGAACAAAGCACTGTGCTTCATGAGAAGCAGCCTTAAAAATGGGCTGAAGTTGTTGAATGGTCTTAATGTGGGTACAATGGTGGTAATGTGATACAAGTGAAGAGGTGTGACTCATTATAACATGGTTTCTTCCCATCTCCAAACACGAATGTTAAAACACTCTTAGCTGCTGGCACTACCTGCACTTTGCAGAGGAGCTGCAGGTCCAGTCTTAGTCCCAAACTGCAAAGCCAGTAACAAAAGGTATAAACTCCTAACAAAAGGACTGATACTTCCCCTGTGAATTCTCCCAGTAGATTGGCCCAATATTCTGAATATTATTAATCTCAGGGTGAGCTCTAACCAATTCACATCCTCCGCTTGCATTATTGTTTAATAAAATAATGTGCTCTTACCTTCCTTTTTCATATCCTTGCATGACAAAGTATTTAGCAGAATTTGCAGAAATCTGACAGGCTCACACCATGAGCGCTTCTGCTATGGCCTCAAATTTGCAACCTCAGGGCTGTCAACCTTGTGCCTTAGTGTCCATGCCACCCCAGCCCCCCTTTCTCCCTCTAGAAATTACACTGTTAATCACTGTATATTAGTATAGATATAATCCAGTGATTCCCATAATGACTTACCAGATGGTTTATCAGTTGAAGTTGGACTACTTGTAACTGGTGGCATGGTTGGTAGAGTTGGTGGTAGAGCCTTTAAATTCTGATCACTCTGAATTTCATTGGTAGATATTTGGTTAATGATACGGTTGTAAGTGGGAGGTTGATACACTCTGTTTGGTGGGGGGGGAGGCTGGGGTATTGGCTTTATGGATGGCATTCTTTGACAGTGTTCTTCCAGCTGTGCAATAATTATAGACTGATTATTGGCAATTGTCATCAAGTGTTGGTATTTGTGCTCTAAGTCTTTGTATTTGTTTGCAAGCTGCAACATATCAGCAGTTTGATTCAGTATCTTATTCTCAAGTTGGGAAAGTTCTAACGCATTGTCTCGTTTGCGGATAATTTCATGCAGTAGCTGCATATAAAGTTGTGTGACCCGAGAGTTCATGTTTCGACTCTCTTTTCTTAAGAGTTTAACCTCATTTACTATCCCACCATCCACCTCCACCAGTTGCTGAAGAGTCTCTATTTGCCTCTTTTGCTTTAGAAGTTCATTGTTAAGTAATTCTAATTCTTGTTTATTCACCCTGTTTTCAAGTAGAACCTCAGGCTCCTTTGAATTAACACAAATGGCACCTGTCACTCTCTGCTGAGGTACAATAAAGGTATAAGTGCATTTGTCCTGTGTATCAGCAGACCGCTTATACCTATTCGTGTAAATGAATTCTTGCTCTGTGCCCTCATCGTTGTCTTCAAATTCCTGTGGCTTGCTTGCGGTGGCTCCCACGATAGCAATTAAGATTAACCAGGTCAGTCTTGTTGCCTTCATGATCCTTTATTTTTTTTGGATATTTTTCTTTTGTAAAGGCCCTTTTAAAAAATCTGTTTAAAAATAAACAAACAGTAAGTAATAAAAGGAAATAATACCAAGAAAAAGATAAGCAACTGGCGCATATATCAAAAGTAAACTTAAAAAAAAAATACCTAAATATATGCTACAGTAGAAGTAACCCTCCAAGTATAACCAACAATACCCAGGATCTGCATTTACAAGCTCTGGGTGGAAACTTGATTAACAATACTAGAAGTGATGCAGAACTCTCGGAATCGCATGAGGTGCAACTTTGACACAGTATGGCCACTACGTGTTATTTTACCTTAATTAGTAGCCTTAGACCTCAAACTAGAAAGTTTTGGATAAATTGAAACCACGGTTTTTGAACCACAACTGTTTTGAACCACAGAGACATTTCTACACAATTACTTATCTTTCACACATTTATTAATTAGAAACTTGGACCTCTAAACATTGTGTACATTAAACTTGAACATTTTTGACTGGTGATTTTACAGGTCAGAGTAACTTGAATTTCTTTTCATCTGATATGTTTGTTGCAAGTCTCACAAGGACAGCGATGTTCATTTTGTGCTCCTTCTAATAGCAGTCTGACTTAACAATAGGTACTAACTTATTTGTTTTCAAGAGTCCTACCCATTAATATTTGCCCTTTTACATTAGTTTGACCTATTAATATTTCATCTTTACACTAATGATATCATTTGGGGGTTATTTGATTTTAATCCTCAAAGCATCAAGCTAACCAAAATGGATCCCTCTTATGCTTGATAGGCTGCTATTGCTTCAACTGCCAAATGCTTGTAGCCAGCAGCCTTTCAGCCTGGTGCGCGGGGATCACTCGGACGAATAGACTTTCCTCAGGCTATTCCAGTTTCAACTGTGAAACCAGTTGGCTCTTTAATACTGAAAATCTGTAATGGTGTTTTGTTGCTGAATAGCATATTTTTCTGAACATTTATCATGTTGTGTCTCTCTCTAATGGTGAAAGAGAAAAAGATCTCCATAGTCCATAACGTTTTTGGAATCGTATAAAAGTTCTTATGTATAGCTTTAATGATTTATTATGATTTTATAGTAATTTACAACTCAGTATTTTAGGGCTACAGATGGATAAAATGCGTGCCACAAATGCATTGTCATCTATAGGCTAAGTCACCTGATTTACAGTATGGCAGTTTATGCTTTTTATTTTCTTTTTTCCTAGGCAATCTGTAGGAAAACTGGTTTGCCCTTAATGCGTGAGAAATCGAGATGCTTCTATGATATTTCTAGGTTGTTTTTTCTTTGTGTTCTAAGGAAGAATAGTGATCTTAATTGGAAATCCTTGCAGCAAATGACCTGCACTGTGTATTCCATAGGCCCAGGCATGACTTCATTTTCATGAACTAGTATTATTCTCATGTGGGGACGTAGCTGATAATTGGCTTCTTTCTGATGAAATTAGGATTTTTTTCTTGGCCTCTCTGAATGATTCTTGCCTCACTATGTGCAAATAGGAACTCCCATTAGGACTGTGATGAATTTAAAAGGACTATATGACTTCTAATAGGCATATAGAGACAAAAAGTCTGTAGTCTTTTTCACCACATACATTTTTTTATTCTGACTTTGGTATTTTAGCTAATATTTTGGGGCCTAAAGAACAACAAGAACCTTGGAAAGTACTGTGAGAACATGTTGCATTTGAGTATATGTGCATATGGGTAGTTTGGTTTACATGAGAATAATACAACGTGAAGTTTGTTCAGTATGTAATGCCTGGTTTGATTTCCTTTCTTTACGGATATGTCATTGTGGTTATGTTTTCTTATACATATAAAGCATTTCACACGGGGTAATGATTCATAACTTGGATGACAAAAACAATCCATCTGGGGGGCAGATTTAGTATACTGAAATCATTAAATTTGTAAGCAAGGGTATAGTAACAGTTGGAAAATAAAATGACTGTTATGGGGCCAGATTTGGTTTTCATGTTGTAAAAGGACCTGTTCCTCAGGAAGCCTGATTTGATCCTTCAAGACATGGACCTCTGCCGTTCCCTGTGGCTTTTGGGGTAGGGTTCAGCACTGGGTCCAGAGTGCAAGGCTGGTCTGTGGGCCTGATTTGGCCTGCAAACCAGCCCCACATCATTCATCTAGCCTTTTGGACCTGCTGGGTTTGTCCTACAGAGTTCTTCCCCTTGTTCTGGAGTACCTCGGGCCTTCTGTCAGAGTGATATGGCTCTTGTTTTCAGTAATTTGGCCAAGTAGTCATTAGCAGTCCCTTGGTACAGTGAGGGCATTCTTCCAGTACGTAAGGAAGTCATTGATGAGGCCGTGGATGACTAAGGAGGCTGATCGGAGATCCACATATTTGACTACAGACACCGTAGATAGTTGCAGGAAAAAGGAGTAGTGGTGTTGGGTCACAGCTCTTTCCTTTGTCTTTTGTCTCTCCCTCCTGTAGTGAGGCAGGTTTCACCTGAATGATCAGTGCCTTGTCATACATCATAGTACCATTGGGGATGGTTCATTGGCTCAGTCTCCCCTGTATTAATGTTAATATTGCATTTCTTCAGATTGGCTTTCAAGGTGTTCTTGAATCTCTTCTTTTGCGCACTTCTAGAGCAGTGACCATCAGTGAGTTGAGAGTATAGGATGTGTTTTGGGAACCGGTTGTCAAGCATCCTTATGACAAGTCCTGCCCAAAAGAGCTAGTGCCATATAAACATGGCTTCAATGCCAGTGGTGTCACTTGAGCCAGAATGCTAGCGTTCATTCTTCTGTCTTTTGCATTAATACGGAGGATTTTCTGAAGTCGTTGCTGATGATAATGTTTCAGGTGTTTGTTACGTCATCCAAGTTTCACACCCATACAGTAGGGTATGGATGACAACAGCCTGGCAGATGAGAAGTTTGGATCCAAATGTCATGATCACTGAAGGCATGATTTCAGGGACATCCAAAGGCAGCCTGGTAGATTTTATCCGGTGTTAAATATTGTCATCTATGGGCACGTCTACATGTCGCCCTACAGTGACATAACGTGGTACATCACTGCACAGCGTGCTGTGGTGATGTTACGATCATGTGAGTCTACATGTAATCTCCAGATACATCGCCGTAGTGATGCACTCCCCCAGGATAGTGTGCTGCTTTGACAACATAGCAGCAAAATTGAACTGTGTACTGTGCTTTAGTACTTCCAAAAGGATGTACTAAAGCACAACTCTATAGCAATGTTGCCATATGGCAATGTGTAGACGCACCCTATGTTTACTTTTTGGGAAAGGTGGCTACCCAGCTAGGGGAAATGCTCAGTGGACTCCAAGGATTGCTCTCTAATTGTAATATGTGGAGGAGCAACTGGTTGGTTTGGGGTGAGTTGTTAAGGTATCCTAGCTTCATAAAGTGAATCTAAGCATTTCATATGCTTCAAAGAAGCAATCAAGAGTGACCTGGAGCGTTCAGTTGTGTGGGCACATGCAACACTGTCGTCGGCATATTGAATATAGTAATGGAGATGTTGGTTTTCCTGGATTTGGAATGTAACCAGTTGATGTTAAAGGGATTTTCATCCATGCAATACCAGATGCTGACTCCAGATGGAGTCCATCAGCAATGAGATGTGAAATATCTGTGGTATAAATGAAAGAGTGTTAGTGCAATTACACATCCTTGCTTGACCTGTTTCTAATAGTGAGTCGGTCCATTTCCAAGCCATTACTTTAGACAGTTGCTGTCATGTCATACTGAAAAATCTGATAATGGTAACAAATTTTGTCAGGCGTCCAAATCTCATCAGGGTCTTCCATAGGGCCTCTCTGTTGATTGAATCAAAGGCTTTATTCAGGTCAGTGAAGGCCATTAAAGATCTGTGTTGCTCATGGCTCATCTGCAGCTGTCTAGCAACAAATCTGTTGTACCTCTGAGTGGTCTGACAGCATGCTGGGTCTCAGAGAGAATCGCCCCAGCACGGGCAGTGGGTCTTCTGAAGAGAATGCAGGCGAGGATCTTCCCAGCTATGGACAGGTGTGCAATACCATGATCATTGCTGCAGTCTGTTCTATTGCCAGAATTATAGCTTGTACATATTCACTAAAGACTTGGTAGTTAAAATGTCTAAACCAGTGGTGCTCAAGTTTTTAGGCTGGTGGGCCAGTAGTGCCCAGTATATCTGCAGGTTGGATCTGACCAATGGTCCCAATCTGGCACCCAAGGCAGTCATGGCAGGGCCCAACCAGCTGTGTGTGAGGGAGGGGCATGTGGCCTGGCCCCAACCGAAATCTGTGGGGGGAATGAGGTTTGACTCGGCCCAACCTGCGGTGGGGCTTGGGGATTGTCAGTGGAGCAGGGTGGCAGTATTAATTGCCACTGCTTCCCTGCTGCCAAATTTCCTGACCCCTCGGGAGTTTTTCAGGCCGGATGCCATGACTCCATGGGCCACGTTTGGTTAAGCATACCTACTCTAAACATTTTATCTACAGTAAGAAGGTACCATTTTGGGCTGTAGGGGACAATCAAGGCTTCCTGCTCCTGGCTCCTGGGTGCTCTTGGGTGCCTGGCACTAGAACTCAGCAGAGACGTAGTTAATTGTGTTAGTCTTAAGCCAAGTAGAAGGCAGGGTAGATTTGCACCATATAAAGTAACCAAAGTAGATGTATATACAGCACAAGACTTCATGGGCTGCAGCTCACTTCATCAGGTGCATCACATCACAGCATTCGATTAAATTAGTTTTGTGAGCTGCAACTTACCAAAATTTACTTGCGCTGATTTATAACATTTACTTTTCACGTTTTCCAGAAGGTCATTTCCTGTAAGAGGTTGCTCATAGTCTGTGGTACAGTCGTTTTTATCTCTGAGTCTGTGCGTGTGCTTATATCCAGGTATTCTGAGTGACTGTTCAGTCAGTCATTAACATTGCTCTGATACAACCCAAAGAGCTGACAGATTCTCAGATTTGTTTAGTAAGTTTCAGCAGTGATTCAAGCACGTCAGCAGCTGTGATCCTTGTCGATCCATTTGAAAGGTGTTTATAC